GTGTGTGTGTGTGTGTGTGTGTGTGTGTGTGTGTGTGTGTGTGTGTGTGTGCACTCATTTCTCTCACTCAGATGTGAGATCGTCTCCTGCAGGGTTTCAGAGATTAGGAAAAAGAAAATCAGGAGCTGGAGGGAAGATGAGGAGCAAAACGGTGATTTGCTGCCATGAACTTTATTTTCTTTGGTCTTTAAAGTCAACTGATGACCAAACTTTAGACTGTTGTCATCACTTCTCGCCCATCATCACAGTTCAGTCAGATTACTTTGAAATCCTACAGCAGAAAGTTGAAGTAAAGCTGAAGCTCAGAATATCTGAGAAGTTATTAGGACAAAATATGACACCATGTGTGATTAAAGTCATAAATATTTGAGGAAAAATTAGATTTTCTAAGCGAGCAGAAACAAATCTTGTGTTTTCTGAGATTAAAGTCATAAATTTAAGTTCATGAATAAATGAAAGTATTAGTTAACATGAATAAATATTCAGGGTTTTAATATTTTCATTGTAAAACCTGCTGACAGCTGGTTTTTAATGTTTTGCGTGCTCGCTGCAGGGGAACTGCGGAGCTGCTGAAAGGAACATTATCAGACTGAATGAAAAGATGTTGCCGAGTGACCTTTGACCTCTGCTCTGTGTCTCAGTGTCTGGAGTTCAGCGAGGGCTCGGTGACGGGCGACATGTGCGAGGACCTGTGCGTGCTCGGCCTGGTCGAGTACAAACGCTGCCTCTACTACGAGAACGGGAAGAAGGTGATCGAGGCGCGCTGGAGAGGAAGCCCCATCATCCTCAAGTCCAAGCTGGAGAACTTCTCCTCCTACGAGCCTCTGGGAATTCTGGACTACCAGGTGATGTCACCACCCTCGTGCCCACTCGCTCTGGGAAGGGCGGCTTGTTTTAAAATAACTCTCCTGCTTGTCCTCGCCCCCACAGGACGCAGCCGAAGAGCTCTCCCCGCTCGATGTCGTCTTTTACGCCACTCTGGAGGTAAGCGGCTTCAGTTTGGTGCTGACGAGTCAAAGTTTCTATGAGTCAAACTGCACTTCCTGTTACCTCAGGTACGAAACTCCCTGGGGCTGGCTGAGGAGACGGAGGATGCAGACAGAGGAGGAGGAGTGAACAACAGCTCCCTGGCCAGACTTTTGGGCAAAAAGCTGAAAAACAGAGAGATGAGTTACTCAAGAGCGGAGCTGGCCTCGCTCTGGGCCTTACTGCAGCAGGAGGAGTACACCTTCCTCAGGTAAACCCTGAACAGGTGGAGGATTTGGATGGTGTCAGTATGTTTGACTCTTCCTGAGGTTCTGAGATGCTCCAATAAACAGATGCATTTATTGAAGATCGATGCTCGCCTGTTTAATCGAGGGTTTAAATCGAGTTCGAGGTTCAGCGGTTTACCTGAGAACCTGACAGCACAGACAGGACCTCCATTTTTACTGACAAAGTTTACTTTCAAAGTAAAACATTTTGTGATTTTTCCTGTGAAGCAGCTGAAATATGTCATGTTTTGTCTCTGAGTTTTAACCCTAAAGAAAAATGACCAAAATAATATTTAAAAAACGTTTTAGTCCTGGCTTCTTTGTTCACGTTTCACTTTTAAAATGTTTGATTTTTCATGAGCACAACTGGAGAACAAAAGAAAACGAATGAAATTAGCTTCAGTCTGAGAGACGTTCAGACACCGGCAGGCTGGCATCCAAAAGTAAAAGCAGTGAGTGGAGGTGACCTGTGCTGCTGCAGTGACAAATGGAGGAAAGCAGCTGTGTGAATGTGGAGCTCTGCAGGTCAGACACCACAGAGGAGCTGGAGACACCACAGAGTCTGATATCAGCTCTCATCGAGCTGCAGCTGATTAAAAGTCTTTTCCACATTTTATCCCCACCTGAAGAAGAACTCATTCATCACCGGCTGTTTTATAGAGAGCATTATTTTACATCACTGGTACAAATGTGTTCACACTCAAGTGTTTTGGTGTCTGAGCTCTGTTCACCTTCACTGAGCAGGAGGGAGGAGACAGAGGTGCGTGGTTAGACAGCCGAGGCTGTTACAGCTTAGTGGGTTAGTTTAGTTTTACTGAAGGAAGCCTGTGTGAAGGACACGCTGCTGTATTTCCTGGAGTAGACGACAGTCAGCATGCCCCCAAACAGACAGGAAGTAAAGTAATGGCTCATAAACGAGATCCGATAAAAACACCTGTGTGGTCTCCAGATTTTCATCCGTGATGATTCCTTCAAGTTCAAGAACTCAAGTTACCAGAAGGTAACGGACCAAAACTGCTCGGTCCACAAAGACGGATCCACTGCTGGAAACGTGCAAACCTCTGTGTGCACAGACCGCGACTGTGAAGGGGTACAAAAGCACAGATGAGCGAGGTTGCACATTTCCACTTAGACTGGTGGAGCTACGTTCATGCACAAAGTTCTCACTCTGCACCAAAAACAGGTCATGAAGCATGAACACTGGACCATCACGTGTGTGTGACCCAGCAGGCTTATCCAATCTACATACATCACAG